GTACACACATCCTAACAGCCGATCACCTGGCAATGAGTGCATTCCAGCTGACTTGATTGAAACCACTAGCTGAACTTTTTGGTGTGTTTCCAACAACACCAGCTGCTGAGGTCATAGTAAATGACCTCATAGGAGCTGAAAGGCCTACCCATAAGCCCCATGGGCATATCTGCATCACTTTGATACCAGTAAAGGGGATATCCCCTACAGACACAGGCTGCTGAGCTTCAGGTTCAGCTTATCTTTCAGTCCAGTGAGAAGGGACATTCTCTGAGAATTCATATATCAGAAACAGTACATGAAGTTACCTATATAAGCAAGGATATCTGTGGGGCACTGGTGGCTCAAACCTGAAATCCTAGTTATTGAGGTGGCTGAGATCTGAAAATCGTGGTTTGAAGCCAGCACAGGCAGGAAACTTTGTGGAACTCATCTCCAATAAACTACCAAAAAGAAGCCGGAAGTGGAACTGTAGCTAAGGTGGTAGGGCACTAGTCTTGAGCAAAAGAAGCTTAGGAACAGTGCCAATCCTAATATTCAAGTCCCAGGGATGATGATGATGATGATGATGATAATGATAATAAGAGGATACCTTTGAAACTTAAAAAGCAAAATCTCAAATGAGAAAATGTCCCTAGATACATGGGTAAAATATTATTCCTCTATGACTCAATCAGGAAAACGGAACTTTCTCATAAATCAGTAGAAGCCAGGCATCAGTAGCTCACAGCTGTAATTCTAGCTATTCAGGAGGCTGAGATCTGCAGATCATAGTTTGAAGCCAGCCAGGGCAGGAAAACCATGAGACTGGTGCTCTCTCTCTCTCTCCTCTCCTCTCTTCTCACTCTCTCTCTATCTTTTTTCTCCTGCAGATCCTGGGGCTTGAACTCAGGGCCTGGACACTATTCCTGAGCTGCTTTTGCAAAAGGCTAGCACTCTTAACAGTTGAGCATCAGTGCCACTTCAGGCTTTTTCTGAGTCTAGAAAGAGGACAGGAGGGCAGAGGGGAGGGAACTAAACTCTACAAAAGCATACAGGGCTGTAATTCTCTCCAACTGTGCCCTACCCATCCTTAGATAATGAACATCTGCTCTAAGTAGAGCTTTTGTCTTGATTAATACCTGGCAAGCACCACAAGCCCCTAAGCTGTTAACACCAGCAAGCCTGGGCTGGGTAGGGCATCTGATTACAGGCATCTCACACACCCCATGGATGGGAAGCTGTGTGGTCCCCAAAGAGGAAGTTCAACTGTGGATGCAATCATGATTCTGTCCAGATGTCCATGTTCCAGTAAGTGCATCTACCGCACACTATATCAAGGAAATCCAGCTTTTACAGGAAAGGTTCCAGTGAGATATTTAAAAACAAAAACCTAACTTGAAAAAAACTTTTTTTCTGGCAAGGTAATCATAGGAATTAGCAAAGAACTAGAAGACAATATGCAAACACAATCAACTAATAAAGCCAGGTGCTTTATCTCAACCATGATTCAGCAGATGAAGATCAGATCTGAGTCTTTACCAAAGCATTCAATAAAAATACCTTGGGCTTGTAAAACAAGCTTCTGACTACTCCATCATCAAGCTGAGAGGAATAGAAAAGTCAAAGCTGACTGGGCATGGTATATGATGAGAATCAGGTCCCATTTATCTATGTAACCCAGCATGGAAGAATGAGGATTGTGAAGTTGAGGCCAGCCTAAACAAACAAAAAGATGGAAGGAAAGAAAACAGAGGGAGGGAGGCAGGGACAGAAAGAGAAGGAAATGGAATGAACAAAAGGAAAGAAGGAAGTGAAAGGAAAGGAAAGAGGAGGAAGGAAAAGAAAGAAGAAAGAAAAAGAAGTAGCAGAAGTTAGAAATTTTGTTATTAAGTCAAAGAGCTTAGAAGCCCAAAAGATGGTGTTGGTTTGTTTTGTATGATGGAAAAGACAGCTTGAAGCCTGAATTTTTTCACTTATGCTATAAAAAAAAAGCAATAATTAGCTGCTGAAGTTGTGTAGTTCCACTATCTTTATAAGCAAGAGGAAGTAAGTGGACATTCAAAAAGCATGTTTCAGGGCATATCTTCTTGACCTTGGTCCATTCTCATGCTAGTTGCTACTAGTTTTAGGAACAAAGCAAATTGTCATGACTCATGCTCATAAAGTTCAATTTTGTATTCATCCCTAAGGTTGGAAAGTATGTCCAGGTTTAGGAAAATGTTTGGATAGGTGGACAAAATTAAAGGTCACCGAAGCCAGGTGCTTAAAGAAATCTATGTTGTTGCTGGATGCTGGTGGCTCATGCCTGTAATCCTAGCTATTCAGGAAACTGAGATCAGCCCTTTTGCCTTAGTTTTCCCAAAAGGGTTTCATGCTTTTGCATGATCAGCCTTGAATCTTGATCCTCTACCTCTGCCTTACAAGTAGCTGTTATTACAACTGGTATTATTACCATGCCTGGATATGAGTGTGTTCTTACACGCTTCCATGAACAAAACTTTACAATTAGATATCAAGTTGTTGGCATAGGCCAACATTTTCTTAAGAGACCCAGAAACACAACAAATCAAAGAAAGGTTGGACAAATGGGATTACATGAAACTGTAGAGCTTCTGCATGGCAAAGGACATAGCTAGCAAGATCAATAGAAAGCCCATGGATTGGGAGGAGGAAGATCTTCACTAGCCATACAGTGGACAAGGGCCTTGTATCTAAAATATACTTTGAACTCAAAAAATTAAATCCGCCAACAACAAATCCTCAAACAACTGCCCAATTAATAAATGGGCTAAAGACTTAAAGAGAAACTTCTCTGAAGAGGAAAGAAGGATGGCCAATAGACACATAAAGAAATGCTCAACCTCTCTAACCATAAAAGAAATGTAAATCAAAACAACATTGTGATTCCAACTCACCCCAGTTAGAATGGCTAAAATCAAGAACTCTAAGAACAACAGATGCTGGAGGGGACGTGGCCAAAAGAGAACCCTACTGGTGGAGTGTAAACTTGTTCAACACTTTGGAAAGCAGTATGGAGGTTCCTCAAAAGACTCCACATAGAGCTCTCCTATGACCCAGCAATCCCACTTTTGGGCATTTACCCAAACAAGGCCATACTAAAGCTACCAGCAGCATTATCACCATAGCTAATAAGCATAGTTTATTGCAGCATTATTCACCATAGCTAAGATATGGAACCAACCCAGATGCCCTTCAGTAGATGAATGGATCAAGAAAATGTGGTACACACACACACACACACACACACACACACACACACACACACACACACACACAGTGGAATTCTATGCTTCCATCAGAAAGAATGATACCGCCCCATTTGTTAGGAAATGGAAAGGATTGGAAAGTAAGCCAGGCCCAAAGAAACATAGATCCCATGGTTTCCCTTATGGCAATAACTAGTATATATCTAGGATGAGCAGAAAAGGTCAAAAGCTAGGTACATATGACCATATAGATGATACTAAGTGAAGTGAACCTCAAGATAGGGACACAAAGGTTTCATCTTTCTAGCTGTAATTTTTAATGTACTTATAATGTACTATGGAAATTTTTTGGTTTCTTTTGCATGTTTTTCTCCCATGGCATAACCCGTTTTCTCTGTATTTGATTCCAATGCCCTATATCTTGTATATACGTTTTTTCTAATTTGGGGAGGGGAAGGGAAATAACAAAATGCAGAAATAAGAATACAAGTTGACCCATTGTAGCAATGAGATGTACAAGACACTAAGTTGAAAACCAACTTTACAACATCGGGAGCAGGGGAGGGAGGAATTGGGGAGGTGGGGTAGGAAGGGGTAGTGGGGAAAAACAAAGGAGGGGGTAACAATGGTCCACAGGAAATGTAGCCATTACCTTACTCATGTAACTGTAACCCCTCTGTACAGCATCTTTACAATAAAAAAAATATATATATGATGCTAATTGAAACAAACCCCAAGATATGGACACAAGCGGTTCTTCTTTGTTATTGTTGTTTTTAACATACTATGTGATTGTTTTATTTCCTTTGTATGTTCCTCCCCCTATGGTATATTTCCTGTCGTCACTGTATTTGAGATTGGTACCCTGAATCTTGTACATACATTTGTCCAATTTGGGGAGGGCTAGGGGAATAACAAAACGCTGAAACAAGGACACAGGATGACCCAATGCAACAATGATACCCACAAGACCCTATATTGGAAATGAAGTTTACAACTTTGGGATGGGGGGAGTCAGGGAGGTAGGGGAAGTAAGGTATAGTGGGAGAACAACAAAGGCGGGAATAACAATTCTCGACAAGAAATGTACTCATGACCTTACTCATGTAACTGCAACCTCTCTGTATAGCATCTTAACGATAAAATTAATTTAAAAAAAAAAGAATCAAGTTGTTCCCACATCAATTTCTCCAATTATACTCAAGACGGAAAGTGTCCTCATACTTACGGTCATTTTCTTCTTGAATTTCAGAATTAATCATATCAATACAGTTCTGAATTTCATTCCAGCTTAAATTATCTTGCCCTTGGGATGAGGCTTCTAGTTTAAGGGAGAGTAGTGCATTGGCATAACTGCGTGAAAGAAAATGTTAATCCCAATTAGACATTCTCTCTTTGCTCATGGTACATTTTAACGTCGATATGTGGCCAAATGTAGAAGTTGATGAGGTTAGACACAAAGCAAAATAAACAAAAATTATCTATGCAGCTCCGTCAACATACTCCACGTAGACTAGTGGTTCTTTGAAAGTATTTTCATGTTTATAAAAAGCAAAACTTCTGTGTACTGGAAGTTCCTTAAAACCTAGCCTTGTACCCAACTCAAGCAGTCCTAGAAGATCTCAACTCTGAAATTATTTCTTTTAGTTGCTCACTGATTTTCTTGATTTGGTTCTGCTCAGTTTTCAGGGCAAATGCTAAGGCGATAGAAGCCTGCAGGGGGCTGGGGTTATTTCCAAACCAACCACCAAATCGGACCCTGAAAGCTCATGCTGGTACTGGGCCATCCAGGTAGCTGTCTAGGTGATCCAGAATGTGCTTACATCAAACAAAATATCATCACAACACACTTGTTTTAAAGGTTTTTATGCAGAACTCTTGACCTCTGTATCTTCAGGTTTCAATTAAAAATTGGGGATGAATGGCCCCCAAAGGCCTATGTGTTAAAGACCTAGCCCACAGGTGGCACTACTGGGACATGGTGGAAGATGTGAAGAAAGAGGACTAGCTGGTGGGTACCATGAGGTGGGATTGTGGGACCCCTGAAGGAGCTGCTTTGACCCCTTCCCTGCTTCCTGACTCATGAGGTAAGCCATCTGCTCTGCCACATGTTCCCACCGGAGGTGCGCCTTCAGCAGATGGCCAAAGCCACAGAGCCACCTGATCACAACTAAAAAATCCAGTATTTGTTAGGAAATGGAAAGACTTGGAAAAAATTATATTAAGTAAGCCAGGCCCAAAGAAACATAGGTCCCATGGTTTCCCTTATTTGCAATAACTAGTATATGTCTAGGACAAGCAGAAAGGCTCAAAACCTATATACATATGACCATATAAGATAATACTAAGCAAAATGAACCCCAAGATAGGGACACAAGAGGTTTCTTTTTTTCTAGCTATAGTTTTTAATGTACTTATATACTAATGTCCTGCATCTTGTATATATATTTTTCTAATCTGGGGAGGGGAAGGGAAATAACAAAATGCTGAAACAAGGATACAGGTTGACCCATTGAAGCAATGAGATGTACAAGATACTTTTTTTTTTTTTGATCGGTCATGGGGCTTGAACTCTGGGTTTGGGCACTGTCCTTGCGCTCTTCAGCTCAAGGTGAATGCTCTACCGCTTGAGCCATAGTGTCACTTCTGGTTTTCTAGTGGTTTTTATTGGAGATCAGAGTCTCATGGACTTTCCTGCCTGGGCTGGCTTTGAACCGAGATCCTCAGAACTCAGCCTCCTGAGTAGCTAGGATTAAAGGCGTGAGCCACTGGGCCTGGCTTACAAGATACTATTTTGAAAATGAACTTTACAACATTGGGGGTGGGGAGGGAGGAGTTGGGGAGGTGGGCGGGAAGGGGCGGTAGGGGGAAAAAAAGGAGGGGGTAACAATGCTCAATAGGAAATGTACTCATTACCTTACTCATGTAACTGTAACCCCTCTGTACAGTATCTTTACAATAAAAAATATATATTAAAAAATTCCAGGGAATGTGGCTTAGTGGTAGAGTGTTTGCCTAGCATGCATGAAGCCCTGGGTTCAGTTCCTCAGTACCACATAAAACAAAACAAAATTCCAGCACTGATAAACCTTTTCTCTTTTTAAGTTAATAACCTAGGGTACTTTCTTAGAGTAACGTGAACTTGATTTAAACAGGTATTTATAAATGAGGAAGGCATTTGTGACCATCAAAATGAATGACTAGGTAGGTAGGAAGGGAGTCGCTGTAGTTTAGATCACAGTGGTAGGTATGGGGAATGTCTTGACAATTACTTCACCATTCACAATTTTTAGTTTCTAATGAGAGTGGCCAGCTCTGCTTTGTATAAGCACCTGGAGTGCTCAAAGCCTGGTTAGATCAAAATAGATGTTAGAGAAAAGAGGTCATAAATCCACTGTGGAGTTTATTACAGAAACAAAGCGAAAGATGCCAAGGATACATGAGGATGGTTGCCAGAGTGGCCACATTCTGTAGAGGTACTATGCACACAAGCACTCTATAAGTACTACGTACACAAGCACTTGAGATACCATGCATACAAGTACTCTAGAGGTACCATGCACATAAAACTGCAGAGGTACTATGCACACAAGCACTCTAGAGGTACCATGCATACAAACATTCTAAAGGTATCACACACATAAGCAGGAAGATTGAAAACAAGAAAAACTCACTGTTCTTCCACCATAAACAAGTGGTCAAATGTCATTTGGTGAAAACCTAAAGTCTCTTCTTTTTCTTGTAAAACTACGCATGACTCCCAAATAAACTACAAATCTTCCCACTATAGCCGTCCTAAGAATCCAAGCTGTGAGTTTTTGTCAAAACCTGTGCAGACATCTCCCCTGGGTGGTCACAAGAAGCCAGGGTTCACTCACTTTTTTAGCTCAAGATTTTTTATATTAAGTCTCTAATTTGGAGGTTGCAGGTCTAGTTTATTGGTATATCACAAGATTAGCAGGTATGAGACCCTGCTAATTATAAAAAAGAAAATAAAAAGAATCGACAATTTTAATTCTAATTCTTGCTCCTTATTTTTCTCTCTATCTCCTCTATAAAAGGTATATATTATTATCAACACAGTAGCACATTTCAGAATCTGAACTGAAAGTCAGTCAACAGAGGCTGTTATACTCTGCCTTGGCCCACTATGGGCTCAGGATTCTTTTGGCTCAACCATCAAAAGAGTGAAGTTTGGAGCCAAAGAGACTCAACTTGGGATCCACAACTCTGATGCATTTTCCACATCTCTGAAATAAAAAAATTGGACTGATTATTAGAGTAGCTTTCTACAGTATATCATTTCTGAAAGAAATGGGTAGGTACATTTTGCATAGTCCTCTATTTTCTGGCCTACTGATCTTCGCTATAGACAGAATCAGTTATTATTCACCACAAGGTCTTTTCTTATTCTTTTTGTCCACTACAAAGGAATACTGTAAAGAAACCTCGAGTGAGAAGGACTTAGAACAGACCAGCTCTCAACAGGCATGAGCCTGGCATATGGATTTTTCCATTAAGGAACAAATTGCTAGTTTGTGAGCTCTGCTGAGCATACATTCGATCTCTGCTTGGGAAGAGGATTTGGAGAACACGCCTTACCGTTCCACATGTGCCTCGTCCACGTTGTTGACACCTATTGCGGAGCTTCTGAGTTGATTCTGCACAGACACAAGATCATTGCTCTCCAAGGCCTGGTTTAGCAGGGCAACTGCAGACAGCATTTCCACTGCAATCAACAACTCTTCGTGGGCCAAGTAGTTCTGTTGGCAAATATGCAGCCATGTAAGTGCACATACACAATGCAGTAGGAAACCCACATGACACAGGACAATACAAAGATAAAGATTTTCAGAACCCAGAAGAAAGAGGCCATGTACTTTTCTTTGGCTTTACCTCAGTAAATGGAATATCATTTGGGGGGCTGTTATTTGTTACATCTAACATATGCAATTTCACAAATTATCTGTATTCCCTATTGTGAGCCCTATTCCTGACTGTGTTGGCTACTTTACAGGTTCCTGTAACCTTATAATTCACCAAGGATTAGAGAACAGGAGATGAGAGTTTTAGGTAATATTTTCGTAGTTAACAACTGTCAGTTTAAAGTAGGGCAAAAAAAAAAAAAAAAGGATAGGAAGGGCTAGAGGTGCAGATTAGTGGTACAGTGCCTGCCTAACAAGCATGGAACTATGAGTTCAAACTCCAGGACTGCTCAAAGCAAAAGAAAATTGAAAGCAGGGGGAATTCTACCTTAAACAATTCCAGAAAAGCTAGGCGCTGGTGGCTCATGTCTATAATCCTTACTACTCATGAGGCTGAGATCTGAGGATCATGGTTCAATGCCAGCCTATGCAGAAAAGTCCTTGAGACTTTTACCTCCCTTAAACTACTCAGAAAAAGCTGGAAGTGGCACTGTGGCTCAAGTGGTAGAGAGTTAGCCTTGAGCAAAAGAAGCTCAGGGACAGTGCCCAGGCCCTAAATTCAAGCTCCAGGATTGGAGAAAAAGAGTTTGATCTATTTTTTTTATAGGTAGATGAAAGACCTATTTTTATAGATATATTTTTTAGCCAAAAATGATTCTAATTTTTAAAAATCCAACTTATAGTCTTATAAGTTGGGTAGTGACTTTAAACCTAAAGCAAATCTTTATTAATCAATTAATATTCTCCAGGTTTATATAGCTTTATAATCTAGATTTTTAAAGAAATACATATTGGATTTCAGAACATAGTTCTCTACTGATATTTTCTTTTATTTAAATATTCTATACTATCTTGTACCCACTTCAAAAAGGATATTTCTTTCATTATATTGAAGGAAATTAAGAAGTTTGAAAATGAATTACTTAAAAAAGATGATACACATCTTTACATTTATATATTCTATATACAGTCATATTTGGATTAAAGTACACTATAGAGGTAGGGACTGGTGGCTCACGCTTGTAACTCTAATTAGTTAGGAGGCTGAGATCAACAGGATTGATGTTTGAAAACAGTGTAGGCAGAAAAACCTGTTAGAATCCATCTTCAAAATAACTAGCCAAAAGCTGGGCTGTAGGCATTGATCATGTGGTACAGCACCAACTAAGCAAGCAAGCCAGGCGAGTAAAAGGCATTGATTTCAAGTCTCGGCACCCAAAAAAAGGTACAGGAAGGAAAAAACCATGTAACTTTCTGGCTCTCCATAGAGATCTTTTTGCAAATTGATTTTAGGGAAACTAAACACAATTTTACTTTCTAAAGTAAAGAAGTAAGCAGAAAATATCAACATCAAACAAATAACATTTTGGAGTCACTCCTGGAACTTGAACTCAGGGCCCGGGCACTGTTTCTGAGCTTTTTGGATCAAGGTTAGCACTCTTATCGCTTGAGCCACAGTGCCACTTTCAGGAATTTTTTTTTGGTGCTTAGTTGGACATAAGAGTCTCACAGCCTTTTCTGCCTAGGCTGGCTTCAAACCGTGATCCTCAGATTTCAGCCTCCTCAATAGCTAGGATTACAAGAGTGAGCCATCAGCAACCAGTTAGTAAACAAATTACATCCAAATATTTATATTAACTACAAATTTACCACCTTAGGGAGGTCAAACAACTGTACATAAAGAGCACAATGAAACCACTGCTGTATCACAACCTCTACAGCAAAAACAAAGTTTGCCATCCCAGACCTTGGAGGTAGAGGTAGGAAGAGTGTGAGTTCTAGTCCATCTGAAACTATTACATAGTCAAACCTTCAAAACCAAGCCAAACCTAGCCCCAAACCCCAAAACAAAGAAGGACAGAGGAAAATGAGGAAGT